CAAGATCATGAGCCCTCTCCACCCCCCTCTCGACCGCCCCCCTAGCTCCTTCACCCGGCGCACACCTCCCTCGCCTCGGCCACAACCTCCATCGCTCCTCCCGCATCGCCTGCGCAACCACAACCGTCGTATCCCCCGCCCGATGCAGCGCGTCACTCCACCTGTGGTGCTCGGCTTCCTCCTGTGGCTGGCGCCGCACTAAACCCCAACCACTGGGCGTTGCAGCTTGTTGTTGTTGTTGCTCCCGCTGCTGCTGCTGCAGCCCCCCCTGCGGCGCAGCATGTGATGGGACAAACACGACCTCCTCCACCTGCACCGGCTCGCGGGAGAGCCGCACACCAAACAACCCCGCCACGCCATCCTCAGCACGCTCCCTGGCGCGCGCCCAGTCCTTGTCCTGCGCCCAGCGCACCGCGGCCAGCACCTCGCCGTTCCACCTCGTCTTGGCGGCCTCGAGGAAGGACGCGCCGGGGCTGCCATCGCGCTGCTGTTGTTGGTGGTGTTGTTCGAGGGTGGCGCGAGGCCGATAGGTGCCGTCGGGCAGGACGGCTGAGGCGTTGCGTCGTCGTGCGGCGGGCGGGAGCGTCGCGTCGATGTCGGGCGGGATGAATAGGTCGAGGGTGGAGGCTTGGGATCGGAGGACGGCCGACTGCGCTTGCCGGTTGCGTGAGTGTGTGAGTAGCGTGAGGTAGGTGAGCGAGAGTGTTAGCGTCACGCCGCCTGCCTGTCAAGAAATCAGTTGAGTTGGTTATGCGGGGTTGCGGTTGAGGGTTGGAGGGCTGGAGGAGTTGCATACGAAGCCGGCGGCGAAACCCATTGTTTCTTTCTTTCCCCTTCTTTTCTTTTGGTGGGGGTTTGAGTTATTTGCTCGTGGTGGTTTTGAGTGTTGGAATGGATATTGATGAGGTCAATTGGCCTAGAGTGTGTTTGCGGCCGTCTCCCTTATCCTGGCCAAAGCCTAAATGGCTTTGCCGTGGTGTTGCGCCTGGAATTGGGCGGGCCGTTGTTGGTGACGTCGGTAAGTCCGTTTCGGGAGCTGAGATCGAAAACGGATCGAAGCCTGGCGGGTGTTCCTGGCACGCACTAACCCCGAATTAGTGGGGCCGGCGATCTCGACTTCAGTGGCACAGTGGCCCGTGCTGCCGGTACACTGCCGTGACAGGGACCAAAAAATTCACGGTGCTTCCGAGCTCGACAGTCGCGGCATAACCCGACTCGACTCCGCGGCAGCTTCCATCACTCAAGCCAACCCCTCGCTCCACGCCCTCCTTCTACCAAACCTAGACTCGACCTCACCCCAATTACAACACCCCCAAAATAGCCCACCATGGCGGGCGGCCACATGAAATACCGACAATTGTCTCGAGACTCAGCACATCGCCAAGCCCTCCTTCGCAACCTAGTCACCTCTCTGATCAAGAACGAAGCGATTCATACAACATGGCCCAAGGCGAAAGAGGCCCAACGGCTAGCCGAGAAGCTCATCACACACGCCAAGAAGAACAACGAGGTTGCGCGGAGGAAAGCACAAGGGATTCTCTACGTTCGTCTTCTCCCCACCGCACACCATCACCACCATTAGCCTCCCCCGCCGCTGAGCTTTAAGATCGTGCACATGACCACCAAGAACCGTATGCAACCGAAATGGGGAGAGAGATGGGAAAATGTCGATTTCCTTCGCACGGCCTGAGGAAGTACCGAAAGGCGGAGTGGGACGTAGCCAACAGGCACATCCCCCACCCCCTCAATCTCCCAAAACTGTGTTAAGGTTTAGGGGGCTGACCTCAACACATTGAGAAGGAGCCCTCGAGTCACGTCAGGACCCCTCTTCCAAA